TTTTTTAAGCAGAGTCTTTATTTAGATATATAATATGGTATATTTTATTGGTATATATACTATATAGTTGATCTATTCCTAGCAGAAAATATTCAGTGGGTCGTCAAATTTAGGTGACCATTAAAACCATTAAAAATGCTGATAGAGACTTAACAGAGTAAAAAAACAAGACAAAAGCTAAAACAATACAAACCTAAAAATATAACAAAACAAAAAACTCTGAAAGTGTATTCATGTGTAATGACAAAATAATGACTCAAGGAGAAAGTACTGAACTACTGAAATGTATTTAATACTTTATATAAAAGTCTTTCTTGGTGATGGCAGCTTAACGATGCTTCTCATATCCAGAATGAAGTCACATGAATTGCTCAGGTCAAGTTTTTCACAGACTTAAACAGAGTGTTAAAATCTTGATGGTTCTGTGCGTCTCGTCGATCAAATCTGATCTTTAGTTTGTATTTTATATTGGATTCAAGTCAGGTGATTGGCTGGGCCATTCTACGGCTTGATTTTCTTTCTCTGAAAGCATTTGAGAGTTTCCTTGGCTGTGTTTTGGATCATTGTCTTGCTGAAATGTCCGCCTTGGTTTCATCTTCATCATCCTGATAATGTAGATGTTGGACTAAAGCAGCAATTATTCATTTACAGTGATGAAGGGCAGAGGGTTGCTAAAGAACTACTGAGAGATTTTAGCTGCTGTCTGGGCTTTCACTGCTTTTCTACACCTCCCTGTCTTTATGTGTTCAATACTTTTTCCCTGCGTTATTTCATTTTATTACACATAAAGTATAAAGTAACTTAATTTAAAAACCAATTAGATTTGTTTTCTTTGCATATATGGATTTCATGTGAACATTTCAAGTGAACATCACCTTTAGAAAATATGTTTTTTTTACTGGGAAAGATTATGGCAGAACATTTTTACTTCATCTAAAAACCCCAATTACCAACTCATTCACTATAACTTTTGTCATAGAACCTACTGGACCCCACCCAGAAGACATCGTATCAATGCCTCCTTTAGTCCTTTCTGTGATAAATGTCCCAACCAGGAACTTGGATCTTTTTTCCATATGATGTGGGACTGTGAGAAAGTACAAAGATTTTGGAATGAGATCTGTGTCATCTTATCAAAAATTATTGAATATCCTGTACCAGTGAATCCCTCTGTTCTATTACTGAGTGATGATTCTACGTTGAACCTTACCAAGCTACAAAAAGCTGTTTGGCTGGCTGGCTTAACTTCTGCTAAAAAATTAGTAGCGCAACATTGGCTGCCATCACATAATTTGGACATGTACAAGTGGTTGGTACAACTTAAAGACATTATTATGTTGGAGTTATCCACAGCTCGAGTGAACCTGGTACAACTGAGTACATTACAGATCTGGGGCCTCATGTATCAACGCTGCGTACGCACAAAAACGCTCACGTTTGGATTTACTAACGATGAACTGAACGTGGGAATGTGCGCACCTCCACGCCAGCTTTCTGGCTGGCGTACGCACATTTTTTTGTGCGTGTCTGCTTTATTTCCATTGGCGACTCCTAGAGGCAGTTGTGTTAAATTCCTCTCTACAAAGTGTCTGAGCCTTGCAATGGCAGCTGTATGAGACGGGTTCATCTAGCAGGTATATAAGGTTTCCATACCATACAGTTGACCAGCTAAACATAAAGCACAATTTGCAGCGGTCGCCTGTTTTCCCAATGTAATCTGAGCGATCTACTGCACGCACATTGCTATAAAGACACAATCTGAAGAAGAATTTGCATGCGTAAATCAGAAACATTTCCATTCAATAAATGTGCAAATAAAATATGATGCACAGACTTATTAATGATTCCTTATTGTCTTTCTCGTGATAAATAGTTGGCAAAATCTGATATGTAGCGGGGGAAAAAAGAAAGAGTTCATCAGACGCTGGAAAGTGTCAAAACATGTTAACCTACGTCTTACGAGCTGCGCCACTGAGACTGTTAAGGGTTCTGAAACATTTTACACCTATAAACCACACTTTTTCTTTTTTTAATTCACTCAGTGCGATGTTCAGACCCAACTGTGTTAACCGCATCAGCTAAACTCTCCCACTCTATTTTTTTCTTTTGTTGTTAATTCCGGAGAACAAACTTGCAAATAACACCGTTTCCTCCGGTCTACCTCCGAAAGCAGCACCTCCAATTCACATTTTGTTCAAAGTTTCTCTTTTGGCTTGCTTTTGTCATTGCTTTTTCGTTGGGTTTTGTCAAAGTAGAGTCATTAGCATATTCATACGGGGGAGGAGGCAGGGAGGGGTTTTGTGCTCGTGCATGTTACGCTCAGATGTACAAAAGAATATGCGTGAGATTTGGCGTACGCAGTGTTAAATACATCTGAATTTTTTTTCTGCGTACGCACATTTACAGCTTTGTGCGTACGCAATGTTTTAGTATGATTTCCACGTAAGTACATGAGGCCCCTGGACTTTAGCTGCTGACAAAATCTCCTTGTTTATTGCACAAAGAAATGATCAGGATCCAGATTGATTGCCTTGCTTTGTATTATGATATTCGATACTGTATTCTGTTTTTGTTTTAATGTTAACTTCTATTCATTGGATACCCCAGTTTCAAGAGATAGCAGGGGAGGGGGGTGGGGGTATTTGAATTGATATGTTTCATTATATAGTTTTTTTCAGCCTGTATGTTTTGTTAACAATTAATAAAAAATAAAAAAAGAAAGAAATATGTTTTCTGAGAAAAAAATGTGATGTGTTCAATACTTATTGTTATTATTATTATTATTATTATTATTACTATAACCTGTTTTTGTTGAATCACTACCTATTTAAATGACTATATTGTAAAAAAATAAAGCATTACTATACATTAAAATAAAATGACTTCACAGAGTGAAATACAATTTTGGCCATACTGCCTCCTAGATACTGAATATTGCAGACCTTTAGTGTGCATGTTGCATTGACCAGTCTTACAATACATTTTATGGTGCATTTACTTCATATTCACTGAGTTATTTTTATTTAGGTTGAAGTAATCCTGTGAGAGTGAGTGTATTGATCTGCTGTGTTTGTTTCTTCTGCCTGGTTATGAACTCCTCCTGTGCAGCGCCAGGTTTACCACACACACACACACACACACACTTTGTGGTGACTGGAGCCAGTTTGTTGTGTTGGCCACACGCTGACCGTTATAAATATCCTGGGCTATGTGAAGCGGTGAGGGAGGCCTGGCAGTGAAAGTGGCACCTGCTTCTTATCACCACGCAGTTTGTGCTGGGATGAGAATCTCTCCCGAGGCAAATAAAGGCATGTTTGCGGGCGCTCCAGTGCCACTGATATTGTGCCGCTTTTATAGGGTTGGCATTTTGTGAGGCTGGCCGCTGGTCAAGTCTGAGAAGTCGGGTCAGGGGGAACGATACGCCCTATTTTAAAGGGTTGATGTAAATGCGGTTAATGCGTGTGTGATAAGGGCTTGTGTAATAGTTAGTCCTGCACAACCACATCAGTTGAATGTGTAGTCTAGTGGACGGCACGGATAAAATGTACCATACCAACATTCAGTCCACAAGTGCTGGAGTTAGAGAGATGTTCTGAGTCTCGACAGTTGTTCTTTTTCCAGAGATTCACTAACTATGAATATGCAGTGACTCTGGGGGCATATAATGATCAAAGTCAATTCATTTTGAAATAGATTCGTTGTAAAATAGTTCATTAGATCTTTCTTTTTTTTTAATGGAATAATTCAAGTTATTTATTGCAAATGAGTTTATTAATTTGGAATTAAAAAACATATTCATTTATAAACTCAAATCATTGAAATAAATTTTTATTGTTTTAAATTATTCAAATGTAATGTTAGTTACAAACATTAAATTTATTTTGAAGTCATCATTCATTCATTTTCTTTTCGGCTTAGTCCCTTTATTCATCAGGGGCCGCCACAGCAGAATGAACCGCCAACTTGTTGTTAATATCATTATATATCATTTTGTTGTTAATATTTACTTTATTCATGTTAATTAACTTTAAAAGTATTAACAATAAGCAACAAAATAAGCTGCAAAACCTCAATATATTTGATTATATTAAATTATTTCTTATTATATTTATAATTGTTAAATTATATTATTTTTTTTACATATAAAAATGTTAAAACTATTTAATTAAAATTATGTAACTATTTATTGGATTCAATTTATCATTTTAAATGTAATTTATTTGAAATGATTAATTTTATTCATTAATTTTTAATTTATTAAAGTATTGATAAGTATTGAAGATGGGCATGAACCTGTATTCCCAGCGGACAAAATGTGGCTTATTAAACTAAAAAATATTGTGCTATTAGAACATTCTACAGCAAGAATTAACAGAGCTAAACCCCAAACAATCAAAGTAGAGTCTGAATTTGAGGAAAAATCTTCTATAATAACTATAGATAAACTAAAGCATACTGAAAGGTCACTATTATTATATTAGAGGTGTATAAAGGTCACGTCTCACCCCAGAGTTGTTTTTTCTTTTCCTGCCTATTGTTATTTATTTATTTATTATTTTAATTAATTTTGTATGTATTTTCATTTAATGCAAACCCTGGCGTTGTTCTGTAATAAATAAATAAGCACAATAAAAAATTATAAATTGCAAGTCATTAATTCAATAAATTTGAAATGATTATTTACAAAACATTTAATAAAGAAAATAAATATTTCTAAAAGTATAAATTATGAGAAACTTTGTGTGAAGTTATTTGGAAGTAGTATTAGTAAATTAATTTAATGTTTCTAAATATTTTTTCTAAAAGATATGTATTTAAAATATTTTTTTATTATATTTTTTCATATTTAATTTGTAGAATTTAACTTAAAAAGTACATTTGAACTAAGTGACATCATCTGTGAGTTCCTCATCAATCTGACTCAGATTATGCTGATTACAGTAAGAACAGGCTGGCCATCAGATGAGGAGTCTAATGCTGTAATGATTGTGTTTTTGCAGATGTTGAGTGGAGCTTCGCTGCCGGTCAACACTCTGGTCAAGATTAAAGAGGGACTCTTGAGACAGAGAGAACTGGAAATTGACCGGTGAGTTAGCAAACACTGTTTTACAGTCATTATCAAGGTGCACACAAAAATAAGAGTAGGACTTAAAATATTTACCAAATGATGTTTAACAGAGCAAGGAAATTTTCACAGTGTGTCTGATAATATTTTTTCTCTGGGTAAAGTCTTAATTGTTTTATTTTGGCTTGAATAAAAGCTGTTTTGAATTTTTTAGGACCATTTTAAGGTCAAAATGATTAGCTCCTTTGAGCTATATATTTTCAACAGTCTACAGAACAAACCATTGTTATACAATAACTTTACCCTAACCTGCCTAGTTAACCTAATTAAGCTTTTAAATGTCACTTTAAGCTGTATAGCAGTGTCTTGAAAAATATCTAGCCAAATATTATTTACTTTCAACATGGCAAAGATAAAAAAAATCAGTTATTAGAAATGATTTATTAAAACTATTATGTTTAGAAATGTGCTGAGAAAAGCTTCTCTCCGTTAAACAGAAATTGGGAAAACAAATAAACGGGGCAAATAATTCTGACTTCAACTGTATGTATTTAAATATGTAAAATGATGTGAATTGTATAATATTTACATATTATGCATTGAATATTTTATTACGCAATATAATATTACATACATTTTCTACAATGTTATTATCAAAAAACCCCAATACTGTATTTAAAATTATGAGAATTGTATGATGTTTACATTACATGCATACATTTTATACAAAGTTTATGCCAATTTAACCCCAATGCATATATATTTTTATATGTAAAGTTGTGTGAATTATATGATATTTACATAGTATAATACATTGTTTACATACATTATATGCTATATTGTGTACGTAATAAAATATGTAAATATTATAAAATTCACATAGGTTTATATATATTGTATACATATGGGAAAACAATACAATTGCATGCAGCACATTTAACTGATCAGTACTATGACCTACCACAAGATGTCGCTGTGATTAATTCTCCAATCATGCTGCTGTGTTTAGTATGCTGAACTTGATCCAGCGATGTTTAACCACACTCTCTCCTATTCTACCTCAAACGCTGCTAATGTCCAAATCAAATGCAACAAGCGCACTTTCAAGTGTCATTACAAGTGTGAAAACACGAGGACAGTCAGCGGCTGCCTTCAGAAAACATGTCCCCTGCTCTTAAAAGCCATTTTTTCCCAGTCTGCTGGTTATTAAAACGCCTGCTCTGCATGAAAAGGCTCTGAAGCAGCAGACTGTAAACTCCAATAAAATCAAAGTGAATATTGAGTGTCTGTTTCTGCTCTGCAAATCCTAGGCAAAAGCAGCAGATCCTTCAGCTTCATGCCAGAATCAGGGAAAACGAGATAAGGGCACAACAAGTCCTCCAGAACCAGAGAGGGCGCTATGAGGACTCATATCTGCTCAAAGCAAAGGTTTGTCTTGTATTCAGATGTATACATTGCTTACTGTACTGTTACTGTACTGAAGTAGTAGTGGCTGCCTAAATTAAACAGGAGGTTCAATCAACAAGAAACTTTTGCCATTATTTACTGCCCTCAGGTTATTTCTTTCTACTGCGAAACACAGAAGATATGTTGATAGATACCGCTAGTCTAATTGTTATGGTTTCATTGGACATAAAAGAGTAAGAATCAATGGCAACTGAAGATTTTTCACCAACATTACATTATTTCTGTATATTTCTGTATTCTATATCTAACAATATTATTATTGTTAATAATAATTTATATTAATATTGTTAATTTCGTAACAATATCCTGCCCATTGACTACAGATGTAAATTAGCTTTATAGCTAACACAGGCTCAACATGACATGCTGTACAGTGTCCCTGAATAAACAAATAAATAAAAACAAACAAAAATATTACTTAAAGTATGATCAAGTTAACACAGTCTCCACCACAATGTCATACAATATTATATAATACTTTAAATAACATTAACTAATACAACATTTTCTAATGTTATTTTGTTAATGAAAATATAGTTGTTAATTGTTAGTTCATGTTAACTCCATGTTTGACCACATAGGAAAGCTAGGTTGCTGCCGGCAGTGGTGTTTGTGAGACGAGCAGGGGGCGCTCAACCTGTGGTCTGTGTGGGTCCTAATGCCCCAGTATATTGATGGGGACTCTACACCATCTTTCGGATGAGATGTTAAACCGAGGCCCCGACTCTCTGTGGCCATTAATAATCCCAGGATGTTCTTTGAAAAAGAGTTGGGGTTTAACCCCGGCATCCTGACCAAATTTACCCGCTGGCCTCTGTCCATCATGGCCCTCCTAACCATCCCCATATCATAACTGGCTTAATCAGGCTGTCTTCTCTCCAACAATCAGCTGGTGTGTGGTCTTGTGCAATATGGCTGCCGTCGCGTCATTCAGGTGGATGCTGCACACTAGTGGTATATGATGAGATTCCCCCCAATGTGTAAAGCGCTTTGAGTATCCAGAAAACACTATATAAATGTAAGCAATTATTATTATTATTATTATTATTATTATTATTATTATTATTAAGTGACTGTGCATTAACTGATGTTAACAAGTATGACTTTGGATTTTAATAAGGCATTAGTAAATGCTGAACTATGATTAATAAATGCTCTACAACTATTGTTTATACTATTGTTAGACATTAACTAATGAAAACTTATTGCAAAGTGCATTATTTTTATTTTATATATTTTAATCTGAGGTAAATTATCCAGTGCTGTTCTTCTAGTGGCTATTAGGGTCATGCAAAATGATATTCAATCCAAGACTGTTTTAATATGGTTATTTTTACAATATTATTTTAGGTGTTAGATTATTAATATATACTGTAAGCACAACAGCAGCCTGTTTTAGCGTTCGTTAGATGTCATGTAAATTCAGCATTTCAGACAATTTGAACTTTGTCTTAAACCTGAAGAAACTGTCCTTTTTTAATTCTTGCAAATGTATCCAAACTAAAAAAGTACAATCGTAGTTAAATTTTGACATGTTATGATTGATTTCCATCTTGCACTCTACTATATACTAACAACTATTATTATAAAGGCACCTCATTATACAGGTATCACTTTAAAGGCTGTATTTTTGTCTTGTGCATTTTAATTGTTGTTTTGTTCATTGATTGTTGTTTTTCACTCGTGCGTTTTTTTTTTTTCCTCCTTCAACTAAACCTTTTTATATTTTTCTGACAAATGCTTTTATGTTTGTCTTACTTTTGTACAAGTATAAATTTAACAACCACAGTTACAGTCAGAGCTTGACATTAACTTTTTTGATCACCAGCCCCTGTAGCTTGTAGTCGTTTCATCATTACTAGCCACTCGATATTTTCACAAGCCACAATTTTGTTGTTCGAAAAATGTTTTCTATGCATAAAATTGAATTTTGGCATGCTAAAATGACTAGATTTCGATTTTTTGTTATGTCCACATGCCTCCTCATTCATTTCACATTTATGTTTGTTATATGTGACCCTGCTCAACAAGCATGAGCAAATGGGTTCTGCATTCATATAGTGTCACTTTTCAGGCCTTAACACTGAGGATTTGTCCATTTTTTTCTTTAGCCACATCAAAAAAAAAAAATAATAATAATAATAATTCTTTACCCAAAATAACTGTAAGCAAACGAAAGCAGGTGAATAACATACGTGTGTGTGATAATGAAAGGTTGATCAAGTGCACACAGTTAACTTCAGGCTCTTTAATATTCTGTTTAAAGCAAGTTTAAAGTGAAAAAAGACATTCAAAAAATCTAGAGCTCTTGAAAGCAGCAGGACTGTGGATGCACGGGCGTCGCTTTTTCTCCAGTCTATTTCAAAGAGAACTGACGGCACCTGTTGTGTTTTCTGGCACAGATGCTTTGCGCAAGGAACCGTTTCTTTCTGAAACTTTTAAACAGTCTGATGTGAAGCTCTTGTCAGTGAGTGAGGATTGCCTGCGTTTCACTGCACGTGATCATCCTCCCATTCAGTATATAGCCAGCAGCCTACCTGCTTTCTTTTGCATCTCTTACGCCAGTCTTAAACTCAGATTTTAAAGACAACTAAAGCTTAAAAACTGACATTAACCAGCCAAAGTGGCTAGTGGGAGTGACTGTATAACCTGCCACAGCTGAAATCTACCTGCATTTGACGGGTGTTAATGTCAAACCTTGGTTACAGTATATGTATTTGTATGTATATGTACAGTATACAGTATATGTATTTCATTTGAATACATTTATATATAAATGTACAGATACTTCTGTGTAAATCACTCCGTATCGTGAAACAGAATTCCCTTGTTTTTATTTTTATTTTTTTAAGTATTTTTCAGCAAGATACTTGCGCTTTTGAATTTAGAAAGATTTTCAGTTTCTGTACTTGAGTAGCAAGTCTTTTTGCATCCCTGCTAATATTGAATGAAAAAGGGAGAATATGTTTATAATGTCATTCAAAAGCTCACTTACCTGCATGTTTTCATGTTTCAGGACTCTCCATATGACAGTCCGGTGTGCGGCCAGAGCCCGAAGTCTCACCTGCCGGATCGAGTGAGTCCCCTGTGCTGTGAAAATGGAGAGCTGGGCCGAAAATTAGCCGCATCAGAGCTGGAGGTCATTCACCTCAGCGAATTTCTCAAACAAAACACACAGAAATACACAGAAGACATCAAGAAACTGGAAGAGAAGGTAAGGAAGACAAATCTTAAGCTGCCTTTTACTGCATATGACAGGTCAGACTGGAAGTCACTCATTTCCAACGGAAAGTAGATTCAGATCCGAGGAGATTAGTAGTTAAAAATCTAAAATAATAATAATAATAAATTTTTTTTTTTTATTTTTGTACCAGAAAATCCTATATTAAAAACACATTTCTGTTCATAAATGAGGAATGTAAAATAATACATTTTATATTTTTTTTTTCCAAATTCCCTCCAAAATTTTTTGTGGTCAACCAATCATGGAGAATGCACAGAGAATAAAGGCTCTTGCTTTTGCACTCATTCATTTTTGGCACCACATTAATCAGCTTCTCTCCCTAGGTGCACGACAAAACTGAAAATTATTGTCGGCTGCCACAATGGGGCGGATTTTTAAGTCGTGTTCAAATGTTGTGTGCAGCGGCTTTATCTTTAACTTCTAAAGGCTCACGGTAGAAAAATGTCTCTTTTTTTACCTCCATTCATTGATAATAGCCAGTTGTTGTTCTCATCAGTTTCAGTTCTGTATGAAAGGATTGGTGATGGTTTATTAATAACAAAAATTCACTCTGCAGAAAGTATACTTCAGATTTTTACATATGCGTTAAAGTTGCATGGTTCATGTGCAGGGCTAAACAGAATCATTTTTTGGTCAAATCTGCAGATATATGCCCAATTACAGTATAGTAACTCAAATTATAAAACACAAAATAAAAAAAGAATAACTTAACTTTAATTTACAACGCAATGTTCATTCATTCATTTTCCTTTGGCTTAGTCTCTTATTTATCAGGGGTCACCACAGTGGAATGAACTGCCAACTATTCAATCATATGTTTTACGCAGCGGATGCTCTTCCAGCTGCAGTCCAGTACTGGGAAACATATACTACGGCCAATTTAGTTTCTTCCATTCACCTATACTGCATGTCTTTGGACTGTGGGGGAAACAGGAGCACCCAGAGGAAACCCATGTGAACATCCAAATTCTACCCAGAAATGCCAATTAGCCCAACCCGCACTCGAACCAGGAACCTTCTTGGCGTGAGGCGACAGTGCTAACCACTGAGCTGCCATGCCTCTCTAAATGCAATATTTTACAATGCAAATCCAATTCGATCCACTTGTTTGGTTAACAAAGCAAGTCTCTCATATTATATTTACTAAAAGACAGAAAATATTACTTTACAAACTGTATCATACATAAACTAATATCCAATAGTTTTTTTATTGTATTTTATCACTGAAATAAATATATAAACAAATATTTACACACATTGAAAGAAGTAAATAAATGGACTCGATGATGGTCATGTGATAATGACATGACGGTGGATGTAGTATGTCCCAATTGTAGGACCTACTTGATTAGTACAGTATGTGATTTCGGATGCAGAACATTGTTTAGTTTTTAAACAAGATATTTTATGGCTTGTTAGGAGGGAAAAACGGATGAATGGGTCTAGTGTGCAGATGTGGAGGGAATGACAGAAATGGCTGTGAGTTTGACTGTGTAGCAGTTTTAACTCCTTTGTCTGTTGTTTGTGTAGATGAAAACACGTGACCGCTACATCAGCAGTCTGAAGAAGAAATGTCAGCGTGAACAGGAGCAGAATAAAGAGAAGCAGCAGCGCATTGAGACGCTGGAGAAATATCTGGCAGATCTGCCCTCGCTGGATGAGGTCCAGACACAAGCTCAACAGGTACACTGTGTTTGTGCGAGTGTACACCATAGTCAACATTCGAAGTAGATCATCAACTTACATCAACGTTGTCCTGAAACTTTTGAACACCACCCATTTTTGTCTCAGGGTGATTTTGAAAAACTAGCTTGATCCACAAATGTTATTTCACTCATTCATTTTCCATCACACTGGTTGGTAAGTAGTAAGGTTTAAGCAAAATACAAGAAAAGCTTGAGCACAAGATAAACGCTAAATACGATTGATTTGTTTTTTAAAGGTAGTCTCATTATCTTAACGTGATTTTCTTCTCTGAACCTCAAAACTGGTGAGGATTTAACAGTGTATTACAATCTCCATCTTATTTCTGGTCCTCCTGATTATTATTCCAGCAAGTCAGATGCCACTTTTCCTAGTTCACCAACTTCTCCAACTTTAAATTGGATTGTCAGCCACCAAAAATGAGAAATGATGCTGGTTTGAGTTAATCAGGGCATAATTAACGTCTCATTTGAGTGGTAAACCAACAGATCAGTGGCAGTCCCTCCGGCGTCTGCTAATAGATCAGCGCAAACAGATGCTAATGTGACAGCAGGCGCTCTTCATTATGTTTGCGAATAATCTTATTTGAGGGTTATTTAATCATTGTTTCCTAGTGTGCACAACTGTAAGAGGATTAATATTATCTGACAGTCAACAACAAATGTTTGGGGTCACTTTTTTTTCTTGCCTGCTTAGCACTTATGCTGAATTTTGAGGCATCCGTTACTGAGATATGTACAGATCAATTCTGCAAAGTTTATATACACTCACTGGCCACTTTATTAGGTACACACATGTAGCGTTTCTGTACTCATCTCAGTCTGTGTGGTGTGTCACAGCTGCAGGACGTGCAGGAGAAGCAGAAGACGCTGGAGGAAAGCGTGTCTCAGCTGCAGAAAAGCCTGGAGGAGAAGCAGAGCCTGCTGCTGGAGAAAGACGCCCTCATCGAGACTCAATCCAAGAGGGAGAAAGAGCTGGTGGCTACTGTCCAGAGGTACTGCACTTCCACACACTTGACTGCTTTCCATTCTCAAACAGACTTAAGGCTCACACCGAACGTGTCTCTGCTTCTAAAAACACAAGAGTCAGGCCTGTTTAATCCCCAAAATACTCTGTAAAGATCAAAGTTAGATCTAATCCTTACTGTCCCCTTTGTTACACATCTTACATTGGCTCCTACTTGCATTTGTTTTGGGAATGGCCACTGTCGGTTCTTGTTTGGTAATATGTATGCTCTACTTTTTTGGATTTCCTACATGTAGACATAACGTGATCCCTTACTTCTTCTTGACTCCATTTTACAACTGAACGCTCATCTAAAAAGGAGCTTAACTGCTGCTAAAAAGATTATTTTGAAATAGTGGATTGAACCATCCACTCCCCCAAATTTTACTACCAGAATTAATGGCGCAAAAGACAATACTATTTAAAGCTGGACCTATATTTCTGCAATGTTGCTTGACATTATATACCGTATATATTAATCTTATATACAGAAAGTCTGAATTTTAGTTAATTTTACATATAATTTAAACTTTTTCTTTGCAAGTGGATGGTTTCATGGCATGTACTTGTGTATATAGTTTACATGTACGCATGTTTCATAATTGTAATAAAACATTAATCTTTAAAAACGTGAGAGTCAGCGCTCAGAAATATTTTCCAGAGCAATAACAGCGTTATGAATGTGACATTTGCAGTAAAAACTATAGTATAAAGTATACAGTATGTTAACATTATATGGAAACATCTGTTTATGTTTTCCAAAACTACTAACCGCAGAGATATGGGATCAGAAAAATATAAATCTGTAAACATTTTATATTTGAAATGAGGAAAATAAACATGTTTATATTGATGTGACCAAAAAACTTTTGAATTTACAGCATACTTTGTAGAAATACTTTGAAGGATTAATGCTAACTAAAAAGGATGAGAGTTGACTCATTATAGAACAAAAATCATTTATTTTATTTTACATTTTTGCATTTATGAGGAAAAAGCTGCATGTGATGTCACTTGTGTGACTTTGGTAAATCAAATATAACTGGTTGAAAACATTGACAGAGACATTTTTGCAGTACTGTAAAATACAAGCCCAAGCAAACTACATTTAAAGAGTTTTGCTATTTTGGTGAAACTTTTTTTTCCATGAGAATATTGATATTTACATGGAATTTCTGAAATTGATCATAAAGCATGAGGGTATCCAGACAGAGCCACAAAGCGCCTATAAACCGAAACTTGCACCGAAACCCCGCCTCCGCGTTATTCTGATTGGTCCACTGTTGTTGAACTGACAGTGAAGTAATGAGCTGCTCTGCATGATCTGATCTTTTTGCTTGATATGGCATCTAAAAAACACGGCTCTTTAAAAGACGTGAGCATAACGGTCGCACACATCAAGCTCGTTTACATTGAAAAACTTATGTTGTTTTTATGTGATATGTATTGAGATTAGTATAACATTTCAACAGCTTGAAAGCACTAAATTGAATGACTTACAGTAGGTTGGGCTAATTTAGTGTTTCCCAACACTGTTCCTGGAGGCACACACACATATATATTGGATGTCTCCCTAGTCTGACCCATTAACTTTTAAAGGTTTTTGTCTCTTCTTACGTTTTGATGAGTTGATTGAGGTGTTTTTGAGTTGGAAGAGGTTGAGATGTGTACTGTTGGTGTGCCTTCAGGAACAGGAAACACTGGGCTAATTAACCCATTTAATCCATTTATTCTTGTAGTTTAAACTTTTTGCCCAAACTTTATACTTCTACTCCAAAAAAGATACAGCTTTGATATATACATGAGCTGGCATGTCAAACTCAGTCCCTGGAGGGCCGCAGCCCTGCACGGTTTAGTTCCCTCCCTACCTCAACACACTTACCTGGAGGTTTAAAACAAGCCTGAAGAACTCAATTAGTTTGATCAGGTGTGTTTAATTAGGGTTAAAGCTAAACTGTGCAGAGCTGCGGCTCACCAGGAACTGAGATTGACGCCTGTGATTTAGAGTGAAGAGCAGTTGAGATTTCCCTCTGTGCATTGTTTGATTTCTCTTGTATTGAATGATGGAGTTTTGTGAAACGTCTGTTTGTAGTCTTCAAGAGAAGGTGGAGAAGTGTTTGGAGGATGGAGTTCGGCTGCCCATGCTAGACCTGAAGCAGCTGGAGAGGGAAAACACTCGCCTGCTGGAACAACAGAGCCACAATAGCCTGGTACACCCTCCAATCATGCACTTCTTTACATTCACTAGCTCGGTTCTTATACCAGAAGTAATCTTTTCAAAGTTTGCTTTCTATCGCATTGTTAGAGCAGCTGAAAAAAAGCTGCTGTCACACTAGTGTTTGTGCATGCAAAATTCTGCCATATGGTGCTGCGAAAAGGGGCAGGATTAAACAAAATGATTAGACATTAAACAAAGCGAGCGATTGCTATATATTTTCCATTAGTTTCTGTCCAGAGAGGTCATGCTTTGATCCTCGATTGGTCTCATGCAGTCACATGATGCGATTTCGCAGGTCAAAGTTCATCAAGCTTGAACTTTCCAACAGTGAACTGCGAAAACTTTGGGACTTTGGGTTTCCGGTTTGACACATTCGCGTGCTTATGAATGGAAGTCTATGGGGAGAAAAGTGCAGTGTGACCACAGCTTTAAACAGACAGCTGATTGGTCACATGGGTATGTTTGCTACGTCTGAGTTTATTCAGCAAATGTGTTTCCAGCTTCCATTAATCGCTTTAACCTTTTCTCAAATTCAAAAACACTTCAAGCGAGCATAAAAAAAGGCCTTTTTTTGGCAGATTAATTGATTTTTGTTTGAAATTTGCCATTGTATCACTTGTTTCTCATGCAATACTTCAACATGCACATTAAGACAAGCTGATGGAAACCCAGTTACTGCTACAGCACTGATCAATTGTTGATTTTATGTCTTACACTACACTATTTTTACATACACCGTACCATGAATCTAAACAACTGATAAAATATCTAGCATATACTGCCTAGAGCTTAGTGGTTTTTTTAGTACCAAAGGCACATACCTATGGACACAAATAAAAGTAAACCACCGTTTTTACAAAAAATGCTTAAAGACCAATATTGATTTGATTTTACCAATATTGAATGGGTTTCATTGAGGCTGGAAGGACATCCGCTGTGTAAAACGTATGCCGGAATAGATGGCGATTCATTCCGCTGTAGCGAGCCCTGATAAATAAGGGACTAAGCTGAAGGAAAATGAATGAATATTTCTTTCCATTATCCATTATAAACTTAAATTGTTGTAAACACTAACGTTTGGAATTATTCACTGTGTTTTTTTTTTCAGCTGATTGACAGTCAGAAGCAGCAGGTGGACAAGCTCACTCTGGAGATGACGGTAAGACCTATATTTTTGCATGAGCTCCATATTTTCATTATATAAAGCTGTATGAGCCATAACTAATATGATGGCAGAAAACAGTTTTTTATGGTCTGTATTGTGAAGAGAAAGTCGGAAGTATAAGATCAAAAAGTTGCAGTTAACCTTTTTTAATCATTTTAATTCATGGTGGAAATGGAAATATACATCTATACAGCACTTGTATCAAGTATGAGCTCCAAGTTCTAACATTATAAAATATAATATATATATATATATATATATATATATATATATATATATATATATATATATTATAATTAAACTATAGTGCACAGCTTAAATGAGTACACTCCCTTTAAAATGAGAAAATAAAGATCCATTTCTCAGTAAATATAGACAATATATTTTGCTGCATTAAGACCAAGCAGTTTTATTAAACCGTTTTATTTATTCAAATAAGACTGTAGTCATTGAACATAATTAGAAGTAAAAGGATAATACATTTGAAAAAATAAGGAATTACAAACTGTAATTATTCTCTTAATTTTTCCTCTTTATTTTTTTATATATATTTCTCTAATAGGTTAATTGGTGTGTACTAATTTTTGCACCGTGATCTTAAGTTATTTTTTTTAAATAGTGCCAATATTGGCCTGTTACTGAATTATCTATTCTATATACACAAATATCTGATGTTATTACATAGAATCGTAGAAAGTGTTGATTTAAATACCTGTAAAGGGTGTACTCATTTATACTGAGCACTAAATATATATATATATATATATATATATATATATATATATATATATATATATATATATATATATATACATACATACATACACACACACACACACATACACATACACACACACACACACATTTTGTATATAATTATAAATAAAATTGTGTATATAATTATAAGTGTGTGTGTATACACTACCTGAGAAGGGTCCTAGTTATCAATCCCAGTTGTAAGAGCAACAAATAATAACTTGACTTCTAGTTGATCATTTGGAAAAGTGGCAGAAGGTAGATTTTTTGGATGAATCTTCTGTTGAACTGCATCCCAATCATCACAAATACTACAGAAGACCTACTGGAATCCACATGGACCCAAGATTCTCACAGAAATCAGTCAAGTTTGGTGAAGGAAAAATAAATACAATACTCAATTGGGGTTACATTGAGTATGGGGGTGTGCAAGAGATCTGCAAAGTGGATGGCAACATCAACAGCCTGAAGTATCAAGACATTTGTGCTGCCCATTACATGACAAACCACAGGAGAGGGCAAATTCTTTAGCAGGATAGAGCAACTCATACAGTACTTTAGCTTCCACATCTTAGTTCCTGAAAGCAAAGAAGGTCAAGGTGCTCCAGGATTGGCCAGCCCGGTCACCAAAAATAAACATTATTGAACATGTGTGGTGTAAGGTGAATTCAAAGAATCTTGATGAACTCTGGGAGTCCTGCAACAACGCTTTCTTTGCCATTCCAGATGACTTTATTAATAAGTTATTTGAGTCATTGCAGAGATGTATGGATGCAGTCCTCCAAGCTCATAGGAGTCATACACAATATTGATTATTTTTCCTCTGCATCATAACTTTATATTCTATACTGTACATTATTTCTGTTTAGTGACAAGACTTTAGTCTAAGCAAAGTCAGACCTTACTGTCCTAATTAAATAACTAAAAATCAAGGCATGATATTTTATTTTGATAAAATAAGTGTAAATAGAGACCTTTGCCTTTCATATAAGCCCCTTCTAACACCAAACAATCAGCTAGAAGTCAAGTTATTATTTGTTGTTCCTAAAACTTAAAATAGGCGAAAAGACTTTTGTCAGGTAGTGTAGATCAAATAAAAGTGTGATGTATGCTTTATTATAAACTTTATTCAGATTTATATTTTTGTCTTACAGTCTAAAGACTCAAAACTGTTCAATCAAATTCAAATTCCTCCACATGTCAGGCTTCACAGGGTTTAATGCACTAATATCCACCTTATTTCAGGCTCTGGAGAAGAAGCTTCAGCGGGAGAGAGGGATCACACAGGAGCTCCGCAAGCAGCTGTTGGAGCGTGAGGAGGAACTGGACACGCTCTCCACCACTCTTAAACAGGTACAGCACTCTAAAACCACCTGCTACAGGACTCTAAGATACCGCTGAGACTTTTTAGTCCGACATGATACAGATGAGGCCTGAAGTGAGAGGCTTGATTGAAGGCTCATTTTTGTGCCATTAAATTCCCCATCCTGCTTTTGATGGCAGTGGAGTCATGAATAACCCAACTGGCCCTCAGCGCTCCATTAGCATTCAGGACATCATTTTTCAGCACGCCGTCTCAAGGTGAGCGAGAGCAGAGCGATTCACTGAGGCGCAGTCATGCGTGATACTGACACACACTTTCACACTGACAATGCCGTACATCATACTGCTGACACGGGGACGTATGATTATTAGAAGCACACGCAGGTATGAAAGAGACCATGCAAATTATGATGATGTCAATTCAGTACAAAAATACACGAAACAATAATATTAGTTATTTTTTATGTATTATCTTTCAAAATAATATTTATTTCAGAGACGCAAAGCTGAAAACTTGCAGCATCATTACTTTTCAGCATCATTTTGCTTATTTCCACCCCAGTATAAAAATAAAACTCTAAGGTAATGGCAACATTATCTCTCACAAAATATCTTTATATCTTGCAATCCTGGATTTTTGTCCACAGAATTGTGAGAAATCTCTTAAGTGTAAGATAAAACTTACAGTAACACTTTTCTTTCTTAAGGCATTATTACACTTCTATGAATTCACTGATTATTTATTTGTTATCTATGATTGATTGATTACTAATGAAAAACAGTTGTGACACTTTGTTACGGTTTAATTAAGTTGTCTAGGGAAAATAAACGTAACACTTATAATATTTAATTATTACTGAGTAGATGGATGGAATATACACCAGGACACAAAATTTACATTCAATTCGTTTATTCCTCTTACGAGGAGAAGAAAAATGAAGCCAACAAAACATGTGTGCGCTTTGTACAATGTATATATAATAAGAAGAAGAAGAAAAAAAAGAAATACAATCAAATGTTTTAGGGGAAAAAGGAACTAGAGTGGCGCCAAAGCAAAGAACTAAACAAAACCCAAAGCCACCTAAACTAGAACACAAGATTCCTCTTTAAACTTACTAATAAAAATCTAAATGTGAAAAAGAAACCGAAATCTTCAGCGTTTGCGACGCCACACCTAAACTCCCTGAAATAATAAGCAAAAATACAAAAATGCGGCGCTCACCCACTTACCTAGTGTTTCTGAACATCGAAGTTACCTACGGGCAAAATGTATGTCGCGCGACTTAGTAAACTATTCCCTTTTCCCCAAAAAGGAATGATAAACTCTTTAACCATGACTTAATTTACATCGATGTAATTATTCAGAAACACAGAACAAAGCATACATTATGAACAGCAGTGAGCGAACACAAACCAACACACACACACACATAGCACTCTGAAAAACAAGGCGTGCCGGTCGAATTTAAAGTCCGCGGAACGAAGTCCAATTGGTCCACGAGGAAACGCCCTAATGAGGAGTGACAGGCTCGGGATCCAATCAGCAGGTACCTAGTAGAGAAAACGTAGCGGAACAAAAGGTGATAGGGCGAGACAAAGAGCGAATGACAGTCGAGGAGATGCGAAGGGAGTCAAGCAAAACAGAGAGGGAGAAGTCACAAAAATACAAACTCCCACGGACCGTAACACACTTAGTTGAATACATTTAAATTGTAATATTAATTATTCCATAGGTATGTCCCAAATCACATACTGTACTTATGCACTATTCTATGCTACTTTGTAGTATAAATAAACGATGCCGTTATTCAACCAGTAAAATGAAGAGTGGAATGTTGCATGCACTTAACAGCCACTGCTTTCCTGACGTAGTGGAAGGGGCGGAGTTTTCGGGCACTGATGTTGCATTACTTCATTTATTTTGGATTGTGAAAGCAATATTCTCCTATGAGAGTGCTTACACTGCCTCCCGATAGTAATTGCGGTTATACTCAAGGTATTATTTTCTTCATTTACTTCACTAATTTGGCAACCGTCAAATGTCATCAGGAAATGGTTTGAATTTCATTCATTTTCTTGTCGGCTTAGTCCCTTTATTAATCCGGGGTCGCCACAGCGGGATGAACCGCCAACTTATCCAGCTAGTTTCTACACAGCGCATGCCCTTCCAGCCGCAACCCATCTCTGGGAAACATCCACACACACATTAATAGACACTATCATACACTACGGACAATTTAGCCTACCCAATTCACCTGTACCACATGTCTTTGGACCGTGGGGGAAACCGGAGCACCCGGAGGAAACCCATATGATACAATATGATACGTACAGCTGTGTAAATGCTAGTCATCCACCGTTTACTATTTCTATTCAACGTCTTTTATCGGTTTCACAAGAAGCTGCTTCTAAACTTCTCATGGCGTGTTTGAATATGAGAAGTGTCAGCGTTACAGTCCAAACTCTGAAAAGTTCCTGGATAAAAGTGCTGAAATAAGACGTTCTACATGTCCCTAATAGCATCTGAAGGTGAAAATAACCATTCTGCCGAATCTCCGGTGGCAAACGTGACGAGTCAGGACTTCATTGTACTTCCATGCTTTAAAATTAAACTATCCCGATTCACCCTGCTGAGTTTTCTTCAGTTTTTTTTTTTTCTTTTTGTCTGTTCAGAAGCACAGACGAGCAGCGGAGGAGACGGCACCGATGGCCCTGGGGACGAGTGTGAAGGACGCGGGACCCCTGCTAAAGGAGATGTCCCTGTGTCTGCTGGATCTGAAGGGCTTGTGCAGTGTCCTTACACAGAGAGCTCAAGGCAAAGAGCCCAACCTCGCTCTGCTGCTCGGTATCAAATGTAAATATTCACACTTTTACAGTGCTCTTCAATATTTCACTTGCATTATTAGTTATCCATGCCTGCATGACTTAGAGATTTAGACAAAACAAAAATTGTGTATCCCAAATTAATACAATATTAATACCTTAAACTGACCCACAACATCTCCTATAATGACCACAAACTCCTCAATGTGTTCATTCAGAGCAGTTTAATTGTATATACGCCTAGTTGAAGCTGTTACAAATATGGGGAGGAAATTAACTTTAAGTGATAGAATACATAGCTAATATTATTAAAAATGAAAAAAGTTTAGCCTATTAAATTAATGGCTTATAGAGAAATTAAATCATCATAAAAGTTTGTTCACTTTTTATTCACTGTATTTAAATATTGGTTAAATTATTTGGAGCAGTTGATCCACGGTTTCGTTTGATAACAGAGATGTCGTTTTAAGAGTCCACAGATCTACAGTGAAAGCATTCCATTACTTTCAGAACTTGTTTGTGCTCATTTAGGACAAAATTATTTGTTTAAAATAAAACACGCAGGATGCAGGTGTTTGCATATTAAGTGTATTTGTCTGTTTAAAAGCTCACCCAAATCCTTAAACAGCCCTTGCAACACATTTGAGATCGGCTGCTTGATCCTTCTTTCACTTTTCAGAGGATTAAAATAGGGGGGAACTATAGGAAAATACTTAAACAGGATGACAGCGGGATAGAATGGTAAAATACAGGTGAGTCCCTACGAAAACAGGAGGGTTGACACGTATGAAAACAATTTAATTGTTACGGGTGAACATTATCATAAACTGTAAGAGGGAAAAAGGATAGCCAATCTGAAATGTGCTGAAGGTTTATTTCAATAGTTTTATATAGTTAGTTCTGGTAATTTGAGTCAAAGCAATCTTTGGGTTACCTACCCCATTTTGTACATTGCGTAATTCAAGCACTGTGTGTGTATATATATATATATATATATATATATATATATATATATATATATATATATATATATATATATATATATATATATATATATGTATAAATATGTGTGTTTTTGAATGTCCATTTATCAGTGCATTTTGGAATAAGGTCTTTCAAACTATCTCAGAATTTTGCAATATGTTTATTCCTAAATACCCCAATATCTGTTTATTAAATGATGATTATCATCTAAACTTAAACATTTTCCTAATGAAGGGTATTTTATACTGCACTAACTGCAGCCAAGAAGGTTACATATTTAAAATGTGGCTTATTGAACTAAAAAATATTGCACTGTTAGAATGTTCTACAGCAATAATTAACAGAGCTAAACCTCAAACAATCATAGCATGGTTTGATTTTATTGAGAAAATGTCTTCTATAATAACTACATAAACTACTGCATAATGAAAGATCAATATTATTATACCAGAGGTGTATAACGGTCACGTCTCAACCCAAAGTATTTATTTTCCTGTTTATTGTTATTTATTTATTACATTTTTTTAAAATGTATTTTAATTTAATGCAAACCCTGGCTTGTGTATAGTTGTTGCTAGCTATGTATGCTGGCTTTGTTCTGCAATAAATAAATAATCACAAAAAAAAGAATTTCCATTTGAACATCGATCTCAATTCATCCTAAAAATGTTTAAAAATAAATAAATACAAATATTTGAATAAATTCATTGTTTCTCCAAAAAAAAGGCTGTTCTTTAGAATATTCTGTTAATCAAACAACTCTAAAAATCAGTTTTTACAGTAAAAAAAAATATTAATAATTGCATCACAACATGCATATTTTCATGATAACGAACTACTTATTGAGCAGTAAATCTAGTATGCCACTTAGGATAAAAGCATCTGCTCAATAAATAATTGTAAGGGTTAGGAAAAGGCTACGAAAACATTTCAAAGGCTGGAGAAGTTATTTGGACTGATTTGATTTCAGGCTGTAGTGTGACAAAGTTATTATTTCAAAAGGGTATGATTCTTTCTGTATATGAGAATAAGAATAATGCATGACTGCAGTAACTCTTTGAACTTTACTTTTACTACAGTGACTACGTTTAATCTGATTAAGACAATACTCTGATTAAGAGGCCATGATGTAAACAGCAAGTTTTGATTAAGCTCATGAATCAACTAAACACAAATGGAATTAAGTTAGTGGCGTTATTGATGTTCAGTACAGACATGTTAACACCGCAATCAAACTATTACCGTCATGTAGGATTTTTGCCGCATTTTGCAACAGGATATTCCATTTACACACGGCTGTTTGACACTATTCTCTGCACCTACCGAGTCAGTGAAGGACCACACACGACATCTGCATCGCGAAATGTGGAGATTTTTTTTCTTCTTCCATACAGTGTGCCGTATTAAACTCCATTAAAACAACTCTTCCAGCAGTTAATACCCTCATCCAATATCTCGTTTGGCACAGGGGACATGCATGAAATATTAACTAATAATAAAACGCCCAAAATTACATTACGTGAAACATGGAAAGCGTGGTGGTGACATTAATCAATCTATAACATGTAAAACAGGATCATGAAAGGAACATTAAAAAAAACATTCATACAATTTGATTACTGATGTGCATGTAAATCTACTCACTGTTAGCTTACTCAATCCAAAGGCAAAAAACATTCATTAAAATAAATTCACAGCTAAATTAGTTTCTCGTTTCTAATGCAGCCCCAGTATAATTTCCTACTTGTGATGCTCATCCTATTTCATTTGCTTCCAGCGATGAGCTGCTCAGCGGAGGAGAGCGAGAAGCCTCTGCTGGAGGATGGTCTGCGGGCCAAGCTGGTGGAGGTTTGCCAGCTGAGGAAAGACATCGACGAGCTACGGACGCTCATCTCAGACCGATACGCACAGGACATGGGTGAAAACTGTGTGACTCAATGACGTCCAGCGCTCGGAAAGGGGGGAAAAAAAATCACATCAACCTGATGGAAACTAAGTCTCTCTGACTGCTGAAGGTTGAACCAAGCTGTGAATCCAGTTTACAAGGACGTCTTGTAGTTTGTGTGTTTTGTTTTTGAATCTTCAAGGATTTTGAATGGAAGTTGAGTGTTTTTACTGTATTTATTGAGACTGTTGGTTCCTGTCAGTCGTTTCTGAGGGAAAGAAAAGAAACTGGTGTCTTTAAGTGCCTTTTGTTCCTGTCCAAACTTCATGAAGTCATTTTTACCCCTAAAAAAAAAAAGAAGCTGACTAATTCGCTTGAGGTCGCAGGTCGACGTTCAGGAGCGTCTAGATGGGAAAACCATCAACTGAAGGGTCCTCAATCATAAGCACCATCATAAGAGTTTTGTGTCTGAAGTGTCATTTGAGTGGCTGAACATCCATTAAAACAAGCATAAAGTGTGTTATTTAAAGGGGCTGTATGTAGAATTAACAAACAGCTTGACATTAGCAACACCGATGGCCATTAAGTGAACTGCAGCCAGGAACTTATAGTTTGCAATTCTATAACCAATCGACCTCAATTTATATTATACATTAAATAATAATAATTAATAATATAATCCATATTTTTTGGGGGGGGACTTTGAATATGCTAATAATGTTCAAGAATTATAGAAATTTTGGTAATATATATATATATATATATATATATATAGCCCAATAAATGTATAGAAAGTTACTCAACTATCACAAGTAACTTGGAATTTATTGTTATAACATACAAACAAACGATCAAAACTTAATTTATTGGTCGGAGAGAGAGGGGGGGGGGGGGGGGAAACAGCTGACCTGAAATTTTTAGGGATAACAATACTGATATCTCTGCATTTATTGGCCTATTTATCGGTTTCTAAATGTAATTACTCAACTATCACAAATAATACATATTTTATTTATTAAACAAACAAACTACAGGGAAATTACTCAACTATCAGAAATAATTATTAATTCACTGGTTGAAGATTAATAAAAAAGAAAAAACAGCAGATCTGTAATTTTGTGGGGATCAAAATACCGTTATCTCTAAGTTTAGAAACCAATATATAGTCTAATAAATACATAGATAATTACTCAACCATCCAAACTATTTATTAATTTATTGGTTTGCGAGAGAGAGAGAAAAAAAACAGCCAATCTGAAATTTTAGGGAAAATGATACCAATATTTCCCTATTTAGCAACCGATATATACAATCAACAACATACAAACAACAGGAAAGTTACTCAACTATCAAAGCTAATTAATTAATTGGAGACATAAAAAAAAAAAAAGAGAACAGACCATCTGGAATTGAGGATAACTACCGATATCTCCACATTTAGAAACCAATATATAGGCCAATAAATGCATAGAAAAAGGACTCAACTGTCACATATAATTCACTAGTTAAGCATACAAACAAGAGGGAAATTACTCAACTATCAGAACTAATTAATTTATTGGTTGAAGAAAAAAAAAAAAAAAAACAGCTGGTCTGGAATTTTGGGGATAACAACACTGATATCTCCACATTTAAAAAACAATATATAGGCCAATAAATGCATAGAAAAATGACTCCTCTATCACAATTTGTAATTTACTAGTTAAACATACAAACAAAAGAGAAATTACTCAACTATCGGAACTAATTATTAATGTATTGGTTGGAGAGAGCTGATCGGGAATTTTTGGGGATAACAATACTGATATATTCACATTTACAAACCAATATATAGACCAATAAATGCATAGGGAATTATTTAACCATCACAAATAATTCATAATTTATTTAATTGTTTGTTTGTTCAAATTTGGCTAATAACTTTAACAATGAACATGTCAGCAGATACCAATATAGCTGCCGATATACATTGACCATCCAGGATGTAGTTAGAGATGCACAAAGTCTAAAATGACAGCAAATTTTGCTCAACCGGTGTAAATATCCATAATTTATTGGTTTAAGTACCATGACAATACATTTAATTGGGGAAACAAGCATTTATCAGTTGATAAAACATCACCCTGAGGGAGAATAAATCCCTTTATTCATGATCCCTTTAAGTTGTTACAAGCTTCCATTAAACGTCGCAATAAATAAAGAGATGAATGTATAACAATTCATACATACAGCCTCTTTAATAACAAACAACAGCAGAGTAAGTAATCCAGGTCAATCTATTCAGGACACCGTTTGACTTTTTAATTTGAAAAAATACCAGCTGCTTTTTTTGCAGAACAAGTTGCACACGTTAAACTCCAAAGTCAGACAGGAAACGGAATGTTCTGCACTTCCTGAAAGCGCTTATGACATTTTATATACTCCATATAACACATGTATTCCTTACTAGAATTAGGAAAACGAGCGAAATCAATGCAAAACTTGTTCACTCAGGTATTTTTAGCGTTTCTTTTATTCGTTGTGGTCGTAGTGACTAGACTTTAGTAAGTGTCATTCAGACCCTGAGCTTAAACTGTTTTTGTCGTAGTTCAGAGATGCGGTCATGTCAAACTTTGCACCAGTGACGAATGTTTAAAACTATGTAAAAGTACAAACATCTATATTCTGCTTCTATATCGTAACTATTTCAAATATATTACGCATGTTTTGTTATAATATCTGGTGCATGTGCATAGAGTTTGGTTTATTTTCTTTGAATTTAACGAAGATAATTACATTAGACGTATACAGCGCTATGCAACCTCACGTTAACCAGCGTTTCTGCAGATCTTTCATGTTATTTTGTGCCTTTACGAGTCTATGCAGCAGAAGCTGAAGAGAGTTTTATTTCTAAATAACAGGCGGAGAAGTTTGTTTCTTAAAGATGCAGGCGAACGAAGCCATATTCACAAAGCAATGCATATTTATTCTCAGGCAGAGAGATGTGTGTTTATGTATGTGGTGCTCGCCATAACACCAATCTGACAGACAGCATGCTGAATTGTGTGTATATATGCAGGAGTATATAAGCATGGATTGACATGACCGAGTCGCTGCGCTTTAAAGCCACTGGTTGGCTCAAGTGTTTCTCTTTTAAAGCTTTTAAGTTTCCAGCTAGATTTTACACATGCCAAAGGTCTATTTATGTACAATGGGGTTTTCTCAAAAGTATTAACTATTTTTCCATTTTGTAAAATGCTTTTCATTTGTACAAATGTCAAATAAAGTATTTTTCTACAGCGGTTTGTTTGAGGTTTTTATGTACGGTAATTGTGATTTAGACAGACGTTCATGGGAATTGTAAGTGGCTCAAATCCTGGAAAAAGCTGCTGTACAGCATGTATGAGCCTGATCTCATGAGGAAACTCAAGTATTTTACATTTGAGAGTTGAGTTGCTAATTTTTGCAAAGTTCAGTTGTAACAAAAAGTATGATTTTAAAAAGGAGGCGTGGCACCCAACCCCTCCCATTACCCCAACCGTCATTGGGTGATGAGCAAAATGTACTGAATTGTACGAATCAGATTGTACGAATTCATACGAATTAGCCATTAAAAGAAAAAGTTATGAATTGCCGTAAGATTGCGTTGTGTGTGTGTGTGTATATATATATATATATATATGTGTGTGTATGTGTGTGCATGTGTTTTAGTTAGAACTATCACACAAATGTTATAGTCGCAAAGAGTAAAACTTTTCCATTTTATTTATTTTTTAAAATTAGGATTAAAGGAGGTAAATATCCTCTTTTATAAGCTGTTTGGACAGAACTGGGTGTATATATAGTGTCCACAGTCATATTGGGTTGATATAAAGACAGTAAGTGTATGATCTAAATCCCTCCCATTTTTAGTCTGACCGCAATGTGACTCAGGAGTGCAGTTTCCCAGCCCACCGAAGGACATGCGTAAAGCAACCAGGTATTAAAAGATCTGTTGCTGTGTCTCGTTTCAGAGGCTGCATCCTTGGAGGTTGCAGCCTCTAAAATGGGACACAGCTTGTTAAGCTCTCTGTGATCATCAATATAACAATTATCAAATGTGATCAAGAATGAGGTTTACAATCAGTAAATTACAATTAGTAAATTTGTCAATAAGGTTATGAAAGTAGATGCTTCAATCCCGGTTTGTGGACTTAAATCAGGTTTATTTTGTACTTTAACACAATGATGTCCATACAGCAGTGGATATTTACATGTACCCTGTCACATTTGCCCTGCAAAAACAATACTAAGCTAACGTGTGTGTGTGTGTGTGCGCGTACAGGAGCGAACTTTAAAACGTCATTGTGTGTTGACTCGTTGTGGAGTTAATTTAAGCCTTTCTGAAACAAATATAGTGTGTCAGAATTATTAGCCCCGCTGAATTATTAGCCCCCGTTTAATTTTCCCCCAATTTTTGTTTAATAAAGAGACGATTTTTTCAACACATTTCTAAACATAATAGTTTTAATAACTCATCTCTAATAACTTATTATAAATATTTTATGTTTGTCATGATGACAGTAAATAATATTTGACAAGATATTTTTCAAGACACTTCTATACAACTTAGTGACATTTAAAGGCTTAACTAATTAGGTTAACTATGCAGGTTAGGGTAATTAGGCAAGTGATTGTATAATGATGGTTGTAAACTATTAATAAAAAAAATATATAGCTTTAAAGGGGCTAATAATTTTGACCTTAAAATGGTTTTTAAAAAATTTAAAACTGCTTTTATTCTAGCCAAAATAAAATAAATAAGACTTTCTCCAGAAGAAAAAATATTATCAGACATACTTTCCTTACGCTGTTAAATATAATTTGGAAAAGATTTTAAAAAAGAAGAAAAATTTCAAATGGGGGCTAATAATTCCGACTTCAACTGTATATCAAACAACCATTGTGAACATTTTTACTGTAGTAAGGGAGAGCTGCATCATGCATGCTTGTGTGTCACTAAACTGTTTGTCTACATGAAGGCTATGGCTCTGACATGCAAGTGCGTGGGAACGGTAGGCAGGGAACCAGCTCATTAGCATTAAAGGCACAGGCAACAAAAAACAGCTACAATGTCCAAAAAGCTCACATTTCCCAGATATAAAAAGGTATAATGAATAATCGATGGGTGTTTTGAGCTAAAACGTTTTAGACATTCTGCACACAAAAGACTTATCTTGAATGTTAAAATTGGTTCCCTTTAAAGTGTAATGAATAACATTTTTTGAAAAAATAACTATGTTCAATACCCATAAACAGACTTAAAGTCTATAGTTTTTTTTTATGATTTAATTTTTTTACTTGAATACATTTGGTTTACTATGATAAAGGTTTTTTCTGCATAATTACTGCTACATCTTAAAATATTTTTCAATCCTATTTTTCTTAATACATAGTTTTTTTTTTTTTTGCCATTTCAGCTAAATGTAGATCTGCTAAATGATTAAATGCAAATGCTTTTATCTAAAATGACTTGCAAATGAGAACAAAACCAGTTCAAATAAATAATAAAATAATTACTACAAAAATGAATACCATAATTATCACTACTGAGAACACCATTTTTTACTAAATTTACTATATTTAAAAACAGAAAAATTATTAAAGGCAATGAAAAACAAATCAGTTTTAGCACAATTTCAAAAACTTAAATGTAATTTAATGGTTAAATTAACAATTGTAAATAAACTGTTTTTAGTCTCACTAGTGTACTTTTTTTCTAATCATTTACCACCGCTACTACTACCACTACCACTACTACTACTACTACATTACATTTTACTAAAATATTTCCCCACAGTGCAATTTTTACTCCCTACCCAGCTTATTTTTAATATAAAAAAATGAATTACTACTGTTAAATTAGCT